AAACCTAATAAAACTTTATAAAAATTTCAGATTTAAAAAAGGGCATTTTTGAAAATGGACATCTAAAAGGGGCATTTTTGAAAAGGGACACACCAAAAGTAGCATTTTTAACAATTTCCCTTATTTTAAAGTAGATATATATTGTAAATGTTCTTTAAGAAAAATTTCTCTTATTTCTTATTTGGTGAGGAATGTAAATGAATGTAATAAGAGTTACAATCTTAGGTTAGATAAAATTCCCTACATAATATTCACTAGCTCTATTGAGGCACGAAGTACCAACAGGGCCGGCTCGAAAGGAGTGGGCAGAGGGACAATGACCCATAGATTCAAGTGATTTTCTTGAAAAATGTACATATAAAAATGCCCAAATAATTTTTAAAATACACATAGGGATCCAAATTTTTAGGAAAAATACTAAATCCAAAAATTTGATAAGGAAAAATGTTTAAATTTTAGTTATATAGTAAAAAAATTTAAAATTTGGAAAATATATTCATTTTGCTAAAAGAAAATGCAAAAAAAGCAAAAAAAAAAACTTTTTAAAAATACATGGAAGGCCAAAAAATTTATTTTGCCTAAAGGTCTCTGTTTATGTTGGACAGGGCCTGTTATAAGTCGGAGATAAGTTTGACGCATATACAAGCGACGTTTATATTGCTGGTCTCAATTGTCTTTAGCTAGCAATTATACTACACCAAGTGTTAGATAGGGTAATTCAAATGGATACAATTCCACTTGTTGGCTTTTCACCGCTCTGTCTCTGTGCATTTTCAGCTTTTATATCAAGTAAAACGTCACCTACGATCCATGGGAAACTCAAGAATGTCAACTTCTCATCGCGATGGCTCGGGTTGTATGTTACATAGTACCACGCAGATGCTAGCTTCTTCTTCTGTTGTTCGTCCTCGCAGCTTTTATCGAACCATCCCATGGCCTCTTTATGCAAATCTTTCACGGACAGCGTGATTCTATCCTTCATATCACCATACCTCCGGTTATCTCTCGCCAGATACATCTCCTTGGTTTTCAAAATGCCTGTGAGAATCTCCTCTTCGTTGACAGCTCCGTAGTATATCATTAACGAGGTCAATTTCTCAGCATACATGTCTCTATGGGCTTTCGCTGTCTCTATAAAGCTCTCAAAGCCAGCTTCTTCAAGTGTCGCATCATAAGTTAGCGTGCCATCGCTCTCAGCTTCTGGCTTTCTCTGTGCTAACGAGCTTCTCACAGCACGGTATAGTTTTCCAAACACAGACTCAGAGATGTATGTTGGTTTCTCAAACCGTTCCAGGAAATCAGGGAACTCTCTGGGCTTTAAGGCATAAGGCATCTCAGCTGGAGCTCCAGTTTTCGCAAAATCAACAGCCCTAGAGTGAAGATTTGCTAACTCTAGACACTTCTGACTCCGGGCTTTTTCTGGATCACGGTCTGCGTGAACCAAATGTGCAGTTGAGATCACCCCAAGTGTGTCGCTTATCATATAATCCACAAAAAATTTGTGGATTTCCTACAAAGCAGAGTGAAAGAAAGAGAATCAGCTTTGCTCCAAAGATTAGGAAACTTTCACATCATCACAGCCTTTTCAAGAAACTAACCTCTAAAGTGACGTCATGGTCCATTATACGAGGTCTGCTTCCAGCGTAGTCCATTGGAGGGTCCATTTGGCTCGGTATAAGCTTCTCATCCCAACTAACAAAAAACTGGTCTCCGTCGAGATCACCACCAGAACATTCATTTGGATGTGGCCTGTGGAGTCAACAAAAACCAAGGAGATAGAAACCATCAACTAAGTTGGGACTAAGAATCAGAAGCATATGGTTTCTCTTTTGGTGCATAGCTTTAAAGGATTGATTTATCATACCTTTCTCCCTTCTGAGGAAAGATGATGCAGTCGAGAAATCCCTTTTCTTCGAAATTGACCTCATATATTGCGTCAAGAACTCTGATATCTCCAGGGTGAAGACATGGGTTTTTTGTGACGACCACTTTCCCAATCACCACAGATGTTTCCTCATCAATCTTGTGGAAGTAGCTTTGTTCGCGAGATTTCAGTTCCGCTTTAGTCAGGGTTACACGAACAAACACTTGGCCATATTCCAGGATACCCATTTCATCCATGCAACCGATCAAGATTCGTCCTTTCGGTACAAGTATCCTGCACCTGCTCTTTAGTTCAGAAAGCTGGCTCTCGTGGTGCACACGGAGCATCATTGAGAGGTAAGGTTCTGAACTTGGTGCATATCCTTGAAGCAGCATCTTAACTAGCAGATTCTTGGAATTTTCTCCGCTCAACTTTTGCAGAACATTTAGTGCTGCATCGCGGTCTTCAAGCATATTCCCCAGCATAGATAAATGCACCGCTTGCATCGCCTCAAACACTGCATCTTCTATTCCAAGCGTCGACAAAAGGCAAATGATCTCCCGGTTTAAGAAGCAAGGCATCGACTCTGTCCACCTGGTAACGTTAAGCATCCTGTTGTTCGAGTCAAATTTAAGCATACTATCACGCAGAGACATCTTTCTGAAGGAACTGCGGTCAACGGCAATCACACCTTTGTAGCCACCATATCGAATTTGAAATGCAGAAGGGACATGACTCAGTCCACACTTCTGTGCAACTTGCTTAGCAAATGCCAGTGAAATTTTCCCGATGCCATCCGAGAAGCAGTAATCAGCACCATCAGTAGTCACTTCGATGTCGGGAATCTGCTCCACATCTTGTGCACGGACATTAAGTGTCTGCCGCGACGCACTGAACAACTGACCCATCCTAGCAGCACATTTAGAAATGCTTCGGATTTTACGGAAACAACCCATCCATTCTCTTATATCTTCCGCTTTTATTTTCTCGTTAGAAGCAAACATCCAGACCGAATTTCCTCGCAGTTGGCTGGCTGAAAAAGCCAAGAACTCAAACCTCTTAGGCCCAACGGTGATCCCTTCTCCAAGGATTGACAACACCCTGTTATAAATGTTGGTTCTAAAGGGCTTCACAAAATAGCCTTCCTTGGAGTTCACAGTAAGGGCATTTGCAGGAAGCTTGCTCCAATCTTCTTCAACAAAAGTAACTCTCATGAAATCTGAGACATGCTCTGCAAAGTTCTTCACAACATAATTGGCAGTCTCAAGCTCTGGACCCAACAGATAAATCTTTGAGGGTGTAACGTAGGCTCTCTGACAACTCATGATGTTCTGCTCGGTTAATCTTTTATAAGCTGATGCAGGGGAATGCTTCATCTTCTTAACCACAGATTGCATCTGAGTCTTGACAAAGAAGAGAGGATCATAACATATAGAGCTTTGCTGGTGAAGTTTCTTGAGGATCACCAAAGTGGTTTCCAAGCTCAAACCACGAAAAATGTTGATCAGTTCCATATTTGACGCAGCAAAAAGACTGATTTTCTGTGCGTGAACAAGCGCATTGAGTTGGAAAAGGATCTCATATGGAAACTCTAACCCCAGAATGGCGGCATTCAAGAGGGGAACAATTTGAGATACAGAGGCAAAGTTCTTCCCATCCACAAAAGTTAGACTCAAAGTTTCTTCTCTGTAGTAAGGTAAGCCCGAGAAAACGTCCAACATCGTTGAGCCGTTGTGGACTTCCAAACAAAAGCAAGTTGATGTACCAATTGACTTCAAACCAGAGAAATCAGTTGTCCGAATCCACATGAAATCAAAATCCTCCTTGCAGAATTGGTACCGATCAGACTTAAACTTTGTGGCTATGTGAGGTCCTGATACTCTTTTAAATACCTTCGGTCCATATTTCAGCTGCAACATAAAACAACATGTAAACAAAAAAATCAGAAGAGACCAAGATCAAACACAAGCACACAAATCAAATCCAATCTCAATCTCATGCAATTTCATCAAACCATAAAGCTGTCACAGATGATTCAAAGAACCAATACATGCATCAACATATAACTAACCAAAAAACTCAATCTTGAATCACTTTCACAAAACCTGAACTTCTAAATAAACTCAACACAGACTCACATTGTCACAAACACATTATGAGTAACAAATTTAGAAAAAACATTATTTTTTTACCTTAAGAAGAAATGCATTAGTCTCAGAAGCATCACCATTAACACAACAACAAAGAGTTTCAACAATATCCTCAAACCTAACTTCAATCTTATAACATTCACCATTTTCCCAAACCCAAAACTCAAGTCTCCTCTTCTCTTCCAAAATCCAACACCTCACACCATCCCATTTTTCTAGGGCACAAAACCTCTTCTCGTCAGACTCAGGAAACCCAACAGTCAAAACGATGTCGTCTAGTCTTCTCCTTGGATCTACAGGACGAGGGATGATATCGTCGTAAGCTTCAGAGAGTCTTAGGTTATGGGTTTTGAAAAGGAGCTTGCTTTGAGAAGAGAGAAGCTGGGCACGAGATTTGACTTCGAGGGTAGTGAATTGTACTCGAGCGAAGTCTCTTGGCTTCCAATTGTCCCGAGTTGTTAGGATTTCGAGGGCGAATACAGTGTCTTCGCCGAGGTTGAGCTCTAGGAACCGGAGGAGTTCGTCAGCGACTATGGTTTGAGGAACGTTGGAGATTTTGAGTGTTGATCGGTTCGTCGTCGTCTCTGACACCATGATTGACCCAAGAGAACAGAGAGAGAGAGAGTGAAGAGTAAATGATTCTCGAGAGAATCAGAAAGTTTTGCTTTTTCAGAAAGTTTGCGTTTTTCGAATATCAAAAGGTAGAAGAAGAAGAGTGTTTAGTGTTTCTATTGAGTGTTTTGTGGTATACTGAAACTATATACACCTTTTCGATATGATCCGTACGATTGTATCTCGTTGATTTTGATCGTTGATTGTGGATAAACGGTAATGTTGACCGGTTTTGTCTTTGAATTATATTAAACCGTCAATTTCGACCGTTGGTAACCGGAGGAATCTCTCTTTGGGGATTACGGAAGAACCAATCGAGTATGGTCTGGTATTGAAGCTAAAACAGCTTCTGATGGGTATTAAGCAAGAAGAATGGTTCAAAATGTCCTTTGCATCGTTCACCCGCAGTCACGAGGAGACAAGACCTCACTATCTAAGTAGGAGAACACAAACATGGTGTTTGAAGCCATGAACTCTAAGGCACAATCACAAGATTGATCTTCTTATTGCCATATTGTGTGACAAACAAAATTATGGGAAAAGATTCTATAATCTCAAGACGGGCATTGAACCCATGAACTCTAAGGAACCAAAGAAAGAAAGAGGTCTGTAAATCTAACACCATGGCCTTGGTTCATTATCTTCAAGCAGTTTGAGCAACAGGTTCATCAGATGCTTCAAGCCTTCAAAAAACAAAATATACACATTCATAAGCTACTAATCTTACAACAATGATAAGCCGTACTGGATGGACATATACGGCCCAATATTATTACCTTTCGATTCCTTCCCCAACCTCGACTCTCAGAAAATTGGTAACCTTCACTGGAGAACCCACCTCCTTGGACAAATTATCCACCAGTGTCTGTGGAATAGGAACCCAAGAATTCAATTTAACAAGCGATGCAGAGATAATAAAACAGCAAACTAGGTGTTATAAGATAAGCTAAAACCCACATACCTTAATGTTTATAGCATCATTCAGGATAAACTTTTGCTCCATTAGAGCAACTTCTTCAAAATACTTACGGAGACGCCCTTCCACAATCTTCTCTATTGCCATCTGATTCTTGCCTGTACTTTCTGCCTGTCATATACCATATTTGATAAGCAAACATTTCGAACTTAGGTTATGTCTGTTTACGAATTACAGCTCAGTTCCATAACATTGAAGTGACAATAACCTGAGACTTTAGAATCTCGCGTTCATTTGCTATTGCTTCTGAAGAAACAAGGTCTTTGCTTAGAAACAAAGGCTTTGCTGCTACAACCTGCATAGCCAGTTCTGAGCCTACACGCTGAATGGCCTCTAGTTGAGTATTTTCACCTTCTACTTCCAGAGATACAATCCCAGCTATACGACCCAGCCCTATTCTCATTTCAAAAAAAAAAGTTAAAAATGCACAGAAATATATCATAAATATGAGATTAGAGACAACGGGAAGTATTTTGAACAATTTGTACCTGGTTGAGGACTTGTGTGAAGATATGCAGAAAGGACGCCTGCTGAAGATTTTGACATCAAGAAACCTCTCCTAAATTTTACATTCTCTCCCATTATCGCAGCTACTTCTGTAACAGCGTTTGAAACTGTTGTTTCACCATTCACTTTTGGATGATCGAGATTGAGCTTAAACTCCTGAATAGCATCCATAAGAGTGATTAGAAATGAAAACTGGATATCAATATCTCAGACAGTGCAAAGAAAACAACATAGGTCCACAAAATTAAGGACACAAAAAGGAAACAAGTAACTACATAAAAACACTGACCTCAAAAAGCTCAGGCCCAAAGGGTAAGACACCAGAAACTTGTTGAGAACTATTTTCAACCAGTAAAGCATGTTTTGCCATAGCTAAAGCCTGCAAACACATGTCAATTTTAGAAGAAAAGGAGCAGTAAATAAGAAACAGGAAACACTAAATCAAGCCATGTGAAATTGCTGTGGCACTAACCAAGTACTGGAAAATCTCATTCCTAGCAACAAAGTCTGTCTCACAATTAAGTTCAATAACAACAACTTTCCCCTCATTTTGAGCAACAGCAAGCATTCCCTCTGCAGCAGTCCGTGACGACTTTTTCGAAGCCAAAACTTTCCCTCTCTTTCTCAAATCCTTCTGAGCAGCCTCTGTGTCAAAACCCAAAAGCACCCACTTTAAAACATAAGAAAACATAAAGAACCTGAAAAAACAAACAAAGAAACCTCAACCAAATTCTTACCAAGGTCCCAATTACATTCAACTAAAGAAGCCTTAACATCTTTAATAGGAGCACTAGTTCTTTCCCTAAGTTGCTTAATAAGACTCATCTGGTCAGATACAGCAGGAGCCTCCGAACTAAAACTCCTTATGAAACTCCCAAACCCACGAACAGGGCTTGTGTAACCAGACGATACAGAGCTTTTGTACTGAGACAAAGTTTCCAATTTGCTTGCCACAGTAGAATAATCATTTCCAGAACTAAATCTACCACTAACACTATAATAAAAGACTCCAATTGGTCTTCTCACTGCTCTAGCAAACGCCATTTTCTTCTATGTCAATCAGTTTCTGCATCCAAAAACATAAAAATCCTTCCTTTAGATTCGTTAAGAAACAAAAAGAAAATCAAATTCAGAACTTTGAGAGAAGAATCAAACGCAAGTCTTAACTGATTATTCTCGAGACAAAAAAAAAAAAAACCCCTAAAAGAAAAGAGTTAACTTGACTAGAAATAGATCGACATGAAACGAGATCGAAATAGCTTGCAAATGGAGCTTACCCGGCGATGAAGAGTTGTTTGGTTACTGTGAGTGATAACGACGGTGATGGTTTTTGTAAAAGACGACTGAAATTGGAAAAAGGGTTTTATGACTTTGGGCCCATTAGTGGCCCATTAAGACTTGGTGATAATAGTCTTCTGTTTTTCTCTCCCGTTTGGTTGTTTTTGCTTTTAGGGTTTATGGTAATGGAGAAAAAGCTTCCCCAACCAATATGCGGTCAAGAAGCTGTGAATCTTCTCAATTGCGTGTCAGAATCAAAATTCGATCAAGAGAAATGTGTACTTCTACTGCAATCTCTCAGAGAATGTGTTCTCTCAAAGGTTTGTTATTTTTTATCTGATTATTCAGAAATATACTAAAATGGCATATTTTGTAGGGTGTGTTTGATGATATGTTGTCTTCGCTTTTTGGATAAGAATTTTGCTTGCAGTCAAAGTGATTAGTAATGATAGATAAATATATATAGAGAGAGAGAGAGCCAGAGAGGCATGCGTCACTAGTTCGCTATGAATACGTCTTTGTGATTCTTGGGTCTTTCTCTTAGTTGTGAGACCGCTTGATCTTGGATTGAGCAAGGCCTTGATTCATCTTCTGTTGTTGTTTCTCTCAGAAAGTTACAAAGTTTTCGATACCAAGCGAAGACCATAACCAAGATGGAGCAGCTTCATTGAGCAAGAGACCTTGATAACGTTATTATGCTTATTCAATCCTAAACTATGTACCACAACTTTAACATTTCAAGATTACTTTTGTCAACAACAAACAATGCATTTCAACTCGTTAGCAAGGGACGACAATAACAAGAGTCAAGAAGAGCCAAAACAAATATATATTGATAACCAGAAAAATAAAAATAAAGATAATTTAAAGTTATAAAAAAGAAAAACGAAGATTTTTCTTTTCATGGTGGAGATTCATCCGTAGAAGTGAACTAAAAGCTCATAATAAACTATATATACATCAGAGTATGGTCTTTTACCTTAGAACTATAGGAGCAAATTTACACATCACAAAGAGGAATCTTACTTATTTTAGGAGCCAAAATAAAAAAATAAAAAATGAAAAACCTTAGAACACCACCAAGAGAAGGAAGGTCTTTTACCTTACTATGTATACCCATCAGCGGTATAAACCCTAAACGCTGATCAAACCGAACCTACAAACGCAACTATCGAACAAGTATAGTTCTACTCTCTCATTCCTTCACCCCATTTGAGGAAGACTCCAGCAGAAAAATAGATAAAACTTGAAAGCTTGCTCATTATCACAATTTTTTTGTGTCTTGGATTGATGGGGTTTCTGTTTTTGTTTTACCATAAACCAAGAAGGCTCTAGGTGTGGAATTACCTCAGCTACTTGTGTGTGTGTGTATATATTTATTTCAGACCAACTGTAGAACTTTGATAGACCCATTTGAGCTAGCTGAAACAACCATATTCGATCTTTTTCTCCAGCAAACGCTTGAAACAAATAGGTTGTTGTCCTCCTCTATCTCCTTACCTGATATAGGATCAATAGAACCAAACTTGTACGAGGTAATAGGCATAGGAAGAGACCGATGATAGGCATAAACCTGAGCAAAAAAAAAAAAAAAACAGAATATGTCTCAATCAGAGAGATCACTAAAAGAACAATAGTACGAGATCATTCTCATTTGTCAAAGGTTTTTTTTTATCATCAGTCCTTTTTTTACTCTGCGCCAGTTATTTTACTATTGTTAGCAATGGATTAATTCCTCCATCGCGTAGAAATAGATGGAATTCACATGGAACTGTGAATTTTTCCATCGGGAATAAGTAAACACTGGAGCTACTAGTTATATTGACGATGAAACTTTCAATCTGTTGCAATGCTGGTTAAAAGATAATAGAAAGGGAGATTCGGAACACAAAGCTCTATAGGAATATCAATGTGTTCCCAAGTTTGTAGGGGCATACCTCATTTGTCTCAGAGCCACAAGCTATATATCCATCGGAAGTAGACAACCCAACAAAGTTCTGAAGAAAAGGCAGGAAAAGACAAATCAACCACGGTGAAAAAAAAGAAACATTATCGGGGTTAGCTCAAACTTGCGTTTCAGCATTAGCTACCTTCTCATTTGTATGGCCGCCAAAAGTTAAGCTGCAAGCATTTGTGGAGAGGCCACCGTGAGTGGTTTTCTTAAGATCCCAAAGCTTTAACGTGTTATCAGTGGATGCTGTGACAAGAGTTTCATTATCCAAGAATTTCGCGTAGCTAACTGCTTTGTTGTGTCCTGACAGTATGCACCAAGGAGTTCTTAAATTCCGTAGATCGTAGCAGTATGTTCTGAAATCTGATGATCCAAAGGCTAGCAAATGAGAGGACTGTGGAGAAAATTGCACACAACAAACGTTTGCAATGTTCCTGATTGTTCCTAAGCAGTTCCTCTGCACAGTCATGCAAGCAGATTGTCTATTAGCTACAAGGCTGAAAATACGAGTATAACAACATTGACAGAATAATCCAAAGTGCTTATTCGTGCGTATATATGCCAGATATCTCAGTACGAGTAGCTATTAAAACAGCGATATCCAGCATAATGAGCATATGCTTGTAAAAGATATAGAAGAGCATGCCTCATTGATGTTCCATAGCTTCACAGAACAATCATCGCTTCCACTGGCTAATTTTGTCGGACAAGCTTCAGAGAAGTCAACAGACCAAGCCCTCTTCTCGTGCTCTATGAAATGTGAAATGGCCTGTCCTGTTGTCACATCCCATAACTGGATTCATCATAATACATTTGTATTCATTAGACCGAAGGAAACTAAGGGGTAATCATGATAAACAATCTAAATAAAACTTCAAAGGTTCAAATACCTTGACAATACCATCATAATCAGAGGAAGCTAGGTAGTTCCTAATGTAGTTGTTCCAGCAAACGCCACTAAGCTTTGATCTATTTGGCATTTCTACGGCTGGATAGTGAATGTCAACAGATTCATTGAAAAGGGAATTGAACTCATATATCTTAATTTTCTTTGACACACCAGCGGTGACAAAATAATCCTCGTCCCGATCGAAACCCAGAGAACAAATCACATTTGAAGTGCTGTTCAACTCACTGGTCCTCAGCACACCCCGAGTTTCAAACTTACTATATCGAGCATATTTGCATAACCCATCAAAGAACGCTCCAACACGATCATCTGAGCTCCAAGTCTCACTGTTTTCTACTTCTGCTACAGTATTATCACGATTTCTTAGCAGATCTCTATCCGGGCGCAACCTATAACGTGCTTCAGGGAGATGGGCATCAATCCTTGCTGCGAAATAAGTGCTTTCAAGCTGATTAATGTTCCTGATCAGTCTCATTTCAGGTACACTAGAAGCAGGAGATGAGCTAGAAGCTTCTTCCAGAGATAGAGGCCCTATGGCACAACGTCTCTTGACAATTTCTTCGATATCTGCTTCCACGGACGCAATTTCTTCCATCAACTTTGCAGCATGCTTCTGCCTTTTCTCTTGGGACAAGATAAGGAAATGCTGCAACAGTTCAGACTCTGTGTCCTCTTGCTCAATGGATAAAGATAAGCCTTCAGCATACAAATCCGGGATTCCATTAACTACTTCAGACTGTAAGATGTCCCTGATACAGAACAACATCAAACTTATTTAGGGATTAAGCCAACTCACAATCTAGACAGATAAAACATGATAGGAAGGAGACTTATCAACACATAAGGGGAGCTCAGTCACTACAAAGACTAAATATTTTTCAGAGTAGAACCTAACAATCCTATCTGAAACAGACAATCTTCCTCTCGTTTACAGCCAGGCGAACAAAACCTCCACATTTGGTGCATATGTACATTTCCTGATATATAACAAAATTATCTTCCAATAGCCCCACTAGGGATTTACAACCCTAAACCATCAACAGAAACAAGCATACAAAAGTTCGATAACATGCTTTTTATCATTTGAAAATTATTGTAGCTAAAGAGTTTCAATTGCCTGGTTGATGGTCGGCATGAAGATTCTGGATGAAGTAACCATAGACAAAACCCAGCTTCCTTTGGATTCTCCGACAGAAATTTGGGAGGAAGAATTCGGTGTCGAATATCAGACATTGCAGCCTCGCGAGCTCTTTCACACTGAAATTGACTAAGCAACTGACGGAAAACCCAAATTAGTATATCAATGAGAATGTTATGTTTTGACCAAGGAACAGTCAAATCAAGGAATACATAAACCTAAGAGCCATGCAGCCAACTGTACCGTCAACGAGAAACTTCACTGTTAGCATCACATTAACAAACATGCTACACTATCTAAATTTATCTGGAACCGTAACACGTATACCAAAGTTTTATGATTAATATATAGTGTAAGACCAGAGAAACCAAACATGACCTACACATGCTGTGGCCCAGTTTACAAAGCTACATTAGTTAAAGAGAATTATCCCATGGGAAAACATATATTTGTATGTCAAATGTAAGGGCTATGCGGTTTCACATTTCAACTCATGAATGTACATATTTACAATTGCAGGCCAAAAGCTAAAATTAAGATGTCATACCTCATAAAGAAGAATACCCAAACTATAGATGTTTGAAGAGGCTGAACGCATGTCACCCCTCAGCTCCTCAGGGCTCGCATACCATTTCTCTTCTAACTGCTCACTCACTGAAGTAAAAGGACGGGCAGCTGTACTACCATGAGGTTGACTAGATCTGTAATGAAACTCATGTATTGCGCCATCACCATTTTCAGTTTGGATATTGACGCCACCAGCTCGTTGAAACATAGGCCACTGTCTAGAGCTTGGTCCACCTGATTTCTGCTTCTTTGCAGGGATAGAGGGACTAGAAGTATCTCCTAACCGCCTTCTAACCAGAGGGTTTTCGAGTTGACTTAAAGTCTCTTTGTTCATGTTGCTGTAAAATGACTCTCGTTGAGAACCTGAACCCACATACTTGATTGCATTTTCCTTGAAAATTTTGAATGAAGATGGTCGTAGGTCACATAAAACAACTCCTTGAGAATGAGAACAATCCACATGATCCACGATCTGCCTAAAGATATACATACATTCTGCTTTATTAACTTCCTGCCGCTCCGACTTCAACCATTCTCTCAGACTTAAACCTTCACCTCCACAACCTCTATGTATATCTGAAGGGCTTCCACAAGAAGACGGTTTACTGGCGTTGGAAGGCAAGCAAGGCAAACCATCATAAGCCGCCAAAGGGATGCTGCTAGAAATCTTTGCTGGAGTATTTGATATTACTAAAGGGCTACCAGAACTAGCTACAGTTTGCTGATCCATATTGCTAGCTTTAGATATATTTTGTGGCGGGCCTCTAAAGGTGACTCCCTTGCCTTTCAATGTTTTTCTAACAAAAAACTGAGAAAACCCAGACTGTGATAACATCTTTGTCTTAATGCCTTCATGGGACAATGCCTCTACGGGTACAGTATTTCGTTCAACATTTTTCAAAAGCTCATTAGCTTCTCCATTAACAGAAACAATCGCCAGTTGTCCAGTTGAAGTCTCAGGCAAAGACATTTTACCTGCATTTCTCAAGATACCTATTGTTTCCCTGTTATTTTCCTTCTTACTCATAGAACTACTACCAGGTAAATCACCATCTAGCGGAAAACGATGAAGAAACTGGCTGCGATTCATCTCTAATCTAGCTCTACTACTTGGTCTACCAACTATAGCCATGCTCGACCCCTCACAAGTTTTAACAGTCAACTCCTCAACAACATCGCCCGCATTCTGCCGGCTAGAACATGGTTCATTTCCTATTTGCT